CCACGGCATGGCTCAGCGTCCCCACGGCCACGCTGGCCTTGTCCCCAGCCCTGTCCCCAGCCCAGCTGGTACTGGCCATGGCTGTCCCTGTTCCTGTCCCCAGCCCCATCATCCCCATCCCCTCTACACTTCCTGCTGGCATCATCCTGTCCCCACCCCTTGCCAACCCTGTCCTTGTCCCTGTCCCCATCTCTGACCCTACAGCCACTCCCATCACCCTCCCTGCAGGTACCAGTCCTGGCTGTCCCTGTCCCTGTCCCCATCTCCGTCCCCACCTCCATCCCCATGTCCCTTCTTGCTGGTTCCAGCCTGGCTCTCCCCAGCCCCATCCCAGTGGCATGTCACTCACCGGGGCTTTGGCACCATGTCCTCGGGCACTGGTGTCCAGATGGACTCGGGTGATTTCTGCTCCCGGAAACGTCCCTCGAAGACGGCGGCCACTTGGGTCATGTCAAAGGCGCAGACGGCCGAGCCGGGGATGCTGGGGGGACGCGGGCACAGGGTGAGCACCTCAACCTATCCCCCACGGACAGTGGGGCACGTGGAGGGGTCCCAGCCCAGCCCTGGGGGGCTGAGCAGGGCACGAGAGGATCAGACCTGTTGGCAGGCGTGGAGAAGACAGCCAGCACCACGGGGCGCCCATCCAGCTCCAAGATGTCCGTCACGGCTTGGATGACGTTGAAGTAGAAATGCGAGTCGCCCGGCACGGAGCAGTTGAGCCGGGCCTTGAGGAAGGAGGTCCACTGCTTCTCCAGCACCCGCTGCGAGCCCCCCATGTCGTTCTTGCACACCCGGGCCACCCGAGACACCACCACCTGTGGGGTGGACACCCATCAGCACCTGGTACCCAACCTCAGTGACCATCCCCTTGTCCCTGTCCCCACCCTGGGTGTCTCAGACCACTGCAGGGATGTCTCCCACCTTCTCCAGGTAGTTGAACTCCATGGCGATCTCTCGGAAGAAGAAGTAGACGTGGCTCCTCCATTCCACGGCGTGCACGAAGTAGGGTTCTGCGGGGACAGTGGCAGGGTCAGCGATGTCCCAGGATGGCAAAGAAAGGGGCCATGTGCCACATCTTGGCATGGCACATGGTGGCCACCACGCCGGGGGAAGGCACCTTTGAACCATTTGGAGTCGTGTTTGACAGTGCGGAGGGTCGGGCTGTCCCCCAGGCTGCGGTAGATGACGGCGTCGATGGCCAGGAAATCCGTCACGGTGGCGGTGAAGAGCATCCCCCCTGCGCGGGAGAGGGGCGTCAGCCGGGCGCGGGGCGGGAGACGGCGGGCAGAGCGCCCGGCACGGCGCCGGCGGTGCCAGCACTGACCTGTGAAGAGGGCCACGTTGGCGTGCTTGGGGTCGTAGGGACACCGGGCCATGCCGCTGATGTTGTCCCCGATGGGCTCCAGCGTGTCCATCTACAGCGGGCGAGACGGGGCCGTGAGCGGGGCCCGGGCTGCCTCAGCGGCGCAGGCAGGAGCATCTGTCACCCGGCCACGGCGCGGGGGGACGCGTGGGGTGGGTGACACGGGGGGTGGGTGACTCACGCTGTAGTTGGCGCAGACGGGGTTGAAGGCGTTGGTGCCACAGATGAAGAGCAGGCTCTCGTTCCGCACCAGCAGCACCTTGACGAAGTTACGGCACTCTGCCTGCGCCGGAGAGAGGGGACCGTCACCCCCCGGCACCCCGGCCCACCCACCTCACCCCTGCGTGCTCCCATGGCTGCGATGGTCCGCCTTGCGGGGTGTTTTCGCCCCCAAAATGGCATTTATGGGACCTGGAAATTGGATTTCTGGCAGATGCCGGGCTGCGCCTGCTCTGATCCACAGGCCCGAAATAATTAATTACAAACCCAATTATCTAAGCGGCCAATAAATCACCGAGACACAATGGCTGGCAGGGAGCGAGGAGGAGGAGGGTGACAGTGGCCGGGGGGGGACACACGGGGTGGCTTTGTCCATGTGACACGGGGTGCAGGAGGGTGCTCAGCCCCCATCCAGGGAGGTCTCACGGGGTGTGCCCCCCCCCAACTCCGTACCTCGTGTTTCCCCTTCATCCGGCAGATGCTGATGTCGTGCTGGTTCGAGCGCCACGTCAGCTTCTGGTGGGGGGGCAACACACACACAAAACCCAGCGTGGGGCTGGGGAGAAGCTGACAGCCCCCCCCAGTGCCCCCCCAACCCCTAGTACCCGGGGGGCTCAGCACTTACCCGGTGGTAGCGCATCTCGCCAGCACCGGTGGGCTCCAGGCTCACGCGGTAGACATTGTCCCTGGGGAGGGGGACACGGGTGTCACCACCCTGCGGGGCACCCCTGGGATGTGGCCCCCAGTGAGGCATGTTGGGGGGGGGTGTGTGCAGGATCCCTCACAGCCCCCCACCCCCGGGAAGGTTTGGGGTGCTGGGATGGGCAATGAGCATCACCAGGGCAGGGACAGCCCTGCCAGAGCCCCTGCAGCCCCCTGGGGTGCCCCATGGCAGATTTTGGGGTGCCCCCAGGGCAGGTAGTGGGGTGCCTCCCCAGCAAAAAGCGTTGGGGGGGGTGTTGGGTG